CACTGGGACTGTCCTGGGGGTGTCACTGGGATGTCACTGAGGGTGTCACTGGGACTGTCCTGGGGGTGTCACTGGGATGTCACTGAGGATGTCACTGGGACTGTCCTGGGGGTGTCACTGAGATATCACTGGAGGTGTCATTGGGATGTCCCTGGAGGTGTCATTGGGACTGTCCTGGCGGTGTCACCGGAATGTCCCTGCAGTTGTCACCGAGGTCCCCAAACCCATTATCTGCCCCCGGGGGCGTGGCCAAGCACCGAGTGGGCGTGACCAAAACCACCCAGGAGGGGGGCGGAGCGCGATTTGACCACGCCCCCGGTTCCTCCCCCACGTGACGCGCAGCCCGCGCGCCGCTGCCCAAGATGGCGGCGTGCCGGGCGCTGCTGGCGGCGGGGCGAGCAGCGGCGGCAGCGAGCGGGCGGCGCGGAGCTTCGGGGGTTGCGGGAGCCGCTCCAGGCCCTGGTCCCGCTCCCGGCGCCTCTCCCGGTGCCGTTCCCGGTGCCGTTCCCGGTGCCGCGGCGGTGCGGAGCCGCCTGTACGAGCACGCGCGGGAGGGGCTGAGCGCGCGGCCGCAGCTCGACGTCACCGCCCTCAGCGAGCGCGACGTGGAGCGGCGGCGCGGGCCGCTAGGGGGCGCTGCGCTCCGCGAGATCGTGAGTGGCGCCAAGCCGCGGTGGGCGTGGCTTGAGGGGTTAGGGGCGTGGCTTGAGGGTTTAGGGGCGTGGTTTTATGGTTTTGGGGCGCGGTTTGAGGGGTTAGGGGCGTGTCTTGATGGTTTAGGGGCGTGGTTTGATTGTTTAGGGGCGTGGCTTGAAGTTTTCGGGGCGTGGTCTGAGGGTTTAGGGGCGTTGTTTGATGATTTTGGGGCGTGGTTTGAGGGTTTAGGGGCGTGGTTTGAGGGTTTAGGGGCGTGACTTGCGGATTTAGGGGCGTGGTTTGAGGGGTTAGGGGCGTGACTTGCTGGTTTAGGGGCGTGGTTTGAGGGTTTAGGGGCGTGGTTTTATGGGTTTAGGGCGTGACTTGAGGGTTCAGGGGCGTGGCTTGAGTGTTCAGGGGCGTGGTTTGAGTGTTTAGGGGCGTGGCTTGAGGGGTTAGGGACGTGGCTTGAGGGTTTAGGGGCGTGGCTTGAGGGTTTAGGGGCGTGGTTTGAGGGTTTAGGGGCGTGGCTTGAGGGTTTAGGGGCGTGACTTGCGGATTTAGGGGCGTGGTTTGAGGGGTTAGGGGCGTGACTTGCTGGTTTAGGGGTGTGGCTTGAGGGGTTAGGGACGTGATTTGAGGGTTTAGGGGCGTGGTTTGAGGGTTTAGGGGCGTGACTTGCGGATTTAGGGGCGTGGTTTGAGGGGTTAGGGACGTGGTTTGAGGGTTTAGGGGCGTGATTTGCGGGTTTAGGGGCGTGGTTTGAGGGTTTAGGGGCGTGGTTTGAGGGTTTAGGGGCGTGAC